AATAAATTAATTTTAGACCCCCCGCGAAGCATTTCCCAGGCCTTAACATGCTTGAGTCGTAAGTCAATACTTTTCATGAAAAAATCTATATATTTTTGTTAGATCATTTTTCCTGTTATTTTTCACCAGAAATCTCCGCAATAAAATTTGCTGGTAATACAGTGGACGACTATATTAAAGTTAAAAGGGAAATACCTCGAATGACAAGTCTAACAACGTGCCTTTGGATGAATGGTTATGGGTCAGTGCTAAGCTACGCCCTGCCAAACAGTGCCAACGAAATTCTCATCGATAATGTCATGTCCGAAAGCAGTTTGGATCTGTGGATTGGAAATAAAGAATTGTAAATACTAGCAATATGACATAACAACAGGAAGACAAAGAAGTAATACCCTTTTGATGCAACGAGTTAATAAATCGCGGCTCTTAAGTTTTKCATGATATTATTCATATGACGAGTTTTACATAAAGCATTGTGGTTGGCGGGTTTTCTACTTTGACGTCACTTGCCTGGAAACAGTTTGAGTGTCAATCTTAGGGGATTCACTATTAGAATGACTTGGAAAAAATATATCGATTTACTAACTGTGTGCATCAAAACGGTCAAGTTAATTATTTTTTTGTCTCCCTTGGTCCACTTACGGAAAATATGGAAGTTAGACTAATTACCAATAGCAACGGTCCAATACGGCTCTGGATGGACCGCGCGTCAGCCAATCAGAATTCAGGAAATTTACAAGCCACATAATACTATGGGATATCATGACTGATATATTTTTTTTGATATCAGCAATGCTTTCCCATAATTATATATGTATGACGTCATATATCAACATTTTCATAACCAGTTGAAAGTCGTATTAAGGTGATTTGTATACATAACAATTCGTTAATTTTGATAGTGTCTTTGTCTTTTTCCAATCATCCAACTGTAAATCTCACCTTTCATTGCCTACATCAGTATTTTAGGATCAACTTTACAATTTGAGTAGTCCATAATGATAAAAAAAACCTTTGGATACACTATTGCATCAGCCATCTTGGATTTGCTCAAATCTCAATACAAAACTATGAAGTGATGCAAATCAGGAGAAATGTATGAGCAGAAATGGCTTTAACTAACATTTGATGAAAAAGAAGATGGAGTTTCGAAGCTTTACTGATGGTTTAAATGGGAGGGTTTTTTTAAGTTGAAGAACAAGAAATGCCTTGATCATCGGTTATTTATTTCTCATCCTTATTTCCGTATGGTTTAGGGAAACAGGCGTTTTTGTCTATGACCGTCAGTGGCACTATATGTGCGTTACATGGGATAATTCCGATGGTCAGATAATTGTCTACAACGATGGTCATCAACTTTTCAATAAGTCGAGCTTCAACAAAGGTCACACGATAGAATCTGGCGGCATTCTCATCATCGGTCARGATCAAGACAGTTTTGGAGGTAGTTTCCAAGTATCGGACAGTTATGCTGGCSAGCTGACGGGTGTTAACATGTGGAACAGGGTACTAGGACCGAGTCAGATATCTGCTATGTCAAAGTCTTGCGAAAGCACGATAGATAGATCTGGGAACATCTTGACGTTTATTGACGTTTTATTTGACGGCACTAGACATGGTCAAACAGAGATTGTCAACGGATCAACATGCAAGAATTCACCAGGTAAGATTTTAAAATATATCAAAATAGATTTGTTTGTTTAAAAAAGAAATTCGCTGTGCAGCAGATGATGAGGAATTATTTATTGATACTTTTCTAATTTTGTTGTTGTTGCTCTTTTTATTTATTTTTTAATATCATGCAAAAAGTCAATCGTTTGTGATGTACACGCCGGAACCGCAACGGACCAGACAACGCTCAAAACCACTGTGTCAGTCTATGTAAAGTATTTTCTTTTAGCTATTGTCATCAACTATTGATTTAGTTGGCGCAAAGTAATAGAGTGCTAGAGTGGAGCTAAATTATAAACATAGTCGGATCATTTCCAAAACAATAAAATTCTGAAAAGCATTGCGACGCATATTACCAAGGGACCACTCGAGTATTACGACATCCTCAGGAAGCCAGGGGTAATCTTCTGGCGTTCGCTCCTCACTCCCAGAAAAAAGTCTATTAGACCTTGTTCTCGATTCGAAATTCAAGGCGTGGTTGCAAAATAAGTAGCTTGCAGTATCTTTCAGAATTTTATCTCAATCTCAGAATAGAATCTTACGCGTAGAATTTACATTCCTTGGAAAATGTAACATTTCATGTATTTTTTCAATTCGTTAGGATGTCACTCAAATATAAGTAATCTTGTGGCAACAAACCACAGTAATGAGATCATAAGACCTCTGCTGCCAACCAATTCATCACCAGGCCACTTTTGTACGTGGCTGATAACAGCACCGTTACAATATGCAATTGTTCTCCAGTTCAGCATCTTCAAGATAGATGAAACAAACAATTGTAGTGAGAATTACTTGTCGGTGCGAGATGGCAATAGTTTCGCTAGTCCATTATTGATGAAGCAGTGTGGTCTCGACTATAAATGTTCCGTTGTGTCGTCTGGTCGTTACATGTGGATAAGATACAAGACTGCCAATACTGGGCAGATTAATAACTTTCTGGGAACTTACGTTGCTGTAAGTCAAGGTAACTGTAGGCATTTCTAATATACTTTTATGGAAATAAGACCGTTTTTCGCTGTTGATATTAATGTTGATATTAAGATCTTTCATGAGTGAGAAACCTCGAAGGTGTTATTATTACCAATGAAAAAAAAAATTCGTTTCGAAATAGAGAAATATAGATATTTCATACAGATTATTATGATACATTGGTTTATCGAATTATCACTGGAAAAAATCGTTCATTTTAAAAGGTTGTAAATTTGATGTAAATATTATGTAAGTGTCCAAAATAATGTAAATTTGATGYTTACATTTGATGTAAATTYACATCATTTTGGACACTTACATAATATTTACATCAAATTTAAAACCTTTAAAGCGCGCGATTTTTTTCCARTGTACGCACTAGTAAAAATTGTCTTGAGCAATACTAACAAGGATGCATGGAAAGTTTCATGGACATGGGAATAGTAAAATGTGGGTTTTGCAAAAATTCTTGAATGACTTATCACCCTAACAGGTTGTCGAGGTTTTTCTTTTGTAGGACTTTTCTTTTCTAGGACAAAATTTTCAGTTGATGTTCTGTTTAATATGCTTCAGTGAAAACTAGCAATCTTGATTGCAGATGGTTGATTTTGGTGGTTTGTCTCAAGATATATCCAAATTATATCCAACAGGTTGGGTAGCTAAGAAGTATAGTCCAATGAAATTAATTAGCAGCAATKCTACTGARTTTCTCCAAGTTTCTATTTCCAAAGACGATCTCAAAAGAAGTATTACTAACTGTACATGGGTCTGTCAGGTGCCGGAGGGAAGTTATTTAAACATCGAAATATTATTGACATCTACTGAGAAACAAGGCTGTTCCAATGAACGATTAGATGTCATAGATGGTCGAAGCGGAAAGCTTTTGAAGTCCAAATATTACAACCTGGCGGAAAAAAACGAAATATTATCATTCTTTGGACGCTACCTGACGCTTCGCCTTTCACCCAATCTAAATGGAATGAGTTGTGTATTCTTCATACGGATAAAAACCTTGATTTTACCGCTCAAACCTATGATGGAAAACTCTACTGGGAGCCCGCCTAATACTATGACAAACAACTCTACTCTGAGCCCGCTCAAACTTACGGCGGAAAACTCTACTTGGAGCAAATTAGGTGCTGCATTAGGCACCGTAGCTGTTTTAATTGTTGCTGGAGTATGTTTCTTTTTGTTTCGAAAGAAAATTAAACAAAAAAGAAAAAACAGGTAAGATATTAATTTAATATGACTGTTTACAGTGTCCTCGACGACGATATGAAGTTTGATTATTTGACAGAGTTGTTCGAGATGATTGGGAAATTGCATCCAGCAAAGTGATGTTGCTAGAAGAACTCGGAGAAGGAGCATTTGGTAARGTATGGAAAGGATACGTMCATACAAGAGATCTTTTAAAGAAGACGATACCAACTGAAGTTGGGCCAAATGGTATGGTGGTTGCCGTGAAAACATTACACACTGCTGGTAAGCAATKTATRTTATAAAGTCGATCCCGTTAACGTTGATTAGCTGCCAAGACATAAAGACAACGAAAAAGTCATTTGCATATGTGTTTGTTTTAATGCCTGCGAAGGATTTTGATTTGAACTCCAAATCATGCTTRCAAATTAAATGTTATTAATGACACTGGTTTTGAAATTGAGGTGGAATTGTCTGSCAACATGATGCAAATATTATATATGTAAATCACTTGGATATTGTCTTTACGTCTTTACAACTGGACAAYGTTAATGAGTTTCCAGACCGTATATAAGATTGTCAACCCTTCAAATACTTATATTGTCAATTTTCGTTTAAGTTGAAGCAAGAATAGAAGAAAAAAACGATCTTCTT